TATCGTGGGTAGCGCCATTTTGAGAGCGAGAGAGAAAAGAGAAAAGGGCTACCGGCGCTTTCCCCCTTTCTGATTGTGTAAAAAGAGTAAAAGTCCCGGATGGAGAGGCTTGGCCGGTGTTGGGTGTCTGCTGTGCCTCAACTTCTTTCGCGCTTTCTTTTCTGTTTTAGACTCGCAAACTTAATTAGTGCCACGGGTTTCGATGGCAACAGTGCCCCGGTCATCGGGACACCATTGCTCGGTCATAGGGTGCACGAGTAACGACAGAAAGCGTCGAATGCCACCCAAGGACCTCGTAGCTTTCATGGAATTCGGCAAGGCACGTGCGGCTGCAATGTTTTGAAGCTCCACCGCTTTCCGCGCGCCTGGAAATGATGAACCATTCATGACTTTTTGCTTGCAATAGGCCCATTTCAACGCAGCCGTTTTTAGTAATGAACAAGCGATACACAAAACGGGAACCTCAATTAACTTTTGTAAACACCCGGAGCTGCTACATATCGTTTTGCTGCGCTGCTTTTATCTTGCGTGTCCGTGTTCTCATATTTCATTGTGGTTGAACGACGAAGACGTTCTAGATGTGCTTATATCGAACCGCAGAAAGCGACAAAGCAGCCACGAATTATTTTACTATTTGATGCAACATTTCGAGTACTAACCTCCAATTTCTATCACTGACACGTTCGCTGCCGCTGTTCCCCCCGTTGCCGCACTGGCGGATGCCATTACTCGGACAAAGAAACGTACACACTGGGCTCGGAGACGCAGATCGCAACACACGAGTCGTACCCTGGAGCGACTATTCAGCGCTTCAAAGCGCCCAATCAACGGAAACAACCCAAAAAACCCACCAGCGGCACTCCAAGGAGCGCTTTTGCCGGCTCTCTGCGCACAGGGGATCGCTATTCAGGAAAACCGATAGAACTACCTTTTCAACAATTTCTAGCCTCACCCGGCGGCGGAAATAAGCCTTCAACTAAGTGTTGTAAATGATGAAATCGAGTCAGTCACCACTGCAAATTATCAATATTAAGATTAATTCAGTTACAAAATTTTACAAGCTGAAACAGCAATTATCACGAGAAAACTGGCACGCACCTTGCGAGCGTACCCCATGTTCATCGGCGGTACAGCGTTCGGTGCGCGCTCCATTCACAAGCTGTTCCGAGCACAGTCGAGAAGGTGGTGTTGAGGAAATGTCTTTTCGGTTTACGAACACAACCCACTGCCGCCAAGACCGGGGTCATGTGGAAAGCGATGGAGCTTAAAGACATTGCAGCCGCTCTCGCCTTGCCGGATTCATTGCAAGCTACATAGGTCCTCGGACAGTATTCGACATTTTCTGTCGTTATTCGTGCACCCTATGACCGAGCAATGGTGTCCCGATGACCGGGGAACTGTTGCCATCGAAGCCCGTTACTCTAATTAAGCTTGCGAGTTCAAAACAAAAAAGAAAGCGCGAACGAAGTTCGGGCACAGCAGACATAAAACACCGGCGAAGCCTCTCATCCGGGACTTTCACTCTTTCTACACAATCAGAAAAGAGGAAAGCGCCGGTAGCCTTTTCCCCTTTTCTCTCTCGCCCTCTTTCAGTAAAACGGAGAAAGCCTGGCGCGTCGCGTGAAAAGACGGCCGCCGTAAATGGGAAAGGAGGGGCGGAGAAACGGGAGCGGAGAGAACCTTGCCCGCTAGCGCCACAAAAGAGCGAGCGGCCAAACGCAGAAACAATCTTTTTTTTTTTCTCTCTCTCTTTTCTTGTCGCTATCGCGGAGAGGAGAAACTCCACGTCCACTCTTTCCCGTTTCTCCCTGCGCCCTTTCGAATCGCCGCGAACGTTTCTCCCGGAGTACAAAAACGACGGTGACGAAAACAGAAAAACAAGCGTGGTTCGGGGAGCGGCCGCTCATGACCCAAGCGCCCGCTGTCTAGGTCTGCCCTTTCTGCTCTGCGCAACCATATTGGTCACCGTTCGGCGCGCTCCTCCTCTCCTTTTTCCTGCGGCCGCGCGCTCTATGGCTCCGTCGTCGATGTGCCAGGTTTTCTCCGTAGGAGGCTATGGTTTTACAGACTCTTTTGATGATGATGATGATGATGATGATTAACGGTTTAATGGCGCAAAAGCGACGAAGGCCATGCTGCGCCAGACTACAAGACTAATGCGACTCACAGTAATAGTAATTGAGAGCATACATGCAGCTGATGTCTTATATATTTATGGTGAACAGAAAATGCAGTACTTAAATTTTGTGTAGAAGGCCACTTGCTTGCAAAAGTTGAGGACCCGATTGAATGGAATGATGGGATGCTCGCCTAACAAAAGTGTTGGATGGAGAGGAATCTGATATGTAAAAAGCTCTGAAAAACAGGCAAGCCGGTTCTGCTCAAAGCCTGGACAGGCACACAAAATATGCAAAATTGTCAAAGGTTCACCGCAATGCTCGCAGCTTGGAGCGTCTTCTCCACAAAGAAGATGTCCGTGAGTCAGGAAGGTGTGGCCGAGTCTAAGGCGGCACAAGAGAACCTCATGAAAACGGTTTTTACGAGATGAATTCTCCCACAACCCCAAAACTGGCTTAATAGCATGCAGCGTATTTGCACTCTCTAGGTTCCACTCAGATTGCCAAGCATCGAGGAGAGCTTTCCTAGGGAGGGGTTCGATATCTTGAAAGGGTATGCCCCGTGGGATTTCTAGGAGGTTGCTTGCGGAGGTAGCCAGCTGGTCTGCTTTCTCATTGCCTTTGATCCCAACATGGCTTGGGATCCAGCAGAATTTGATAACGAACCCACGCTCTAAGCAGCAATTGATTTTATAGCGTATTAGCTTAGCGAGCATGTTTCTTGTATCTCTTACAGAGCAAAGGGCAACGATGACACTTTGGGAGTCTTAAAAAAGAATTGCCTTCATTGTTTTGCTGGTGGTGATATACTCGACTGCAAGGAGAACACCGTATAGCTCCGCAGTAAAAATACTAGCCATGCAGCTAAGCCGCTGGGCCTCTATGAAAACCTCAGAATAAACAGCCGATCCCACTGCAGAAAAAGTCTTGGAGCCATCTGTATAAAATTGAGTATAGTCGTCATATTTATTCTGTAAGCCAAGAAATTCTTGTTGAATAAGCAGAGGGGAGACATTATGCTTGCTATACCGTGCGAATGACCAGTCGCATGATACTGGAAGCATTTTCCAAGGGGGAATACTCTCGGCTTTTTGGAGAAGGTTAATGCCATGAAGGTCGAGACCGAGAGATGACTGATCACTGTGAACACGAAAGCTCAATGGCCGCACAATGCTTGGTTTATTTGCACAAAGGCGAGCAAATTGAGATTGCTGGAGAGCAAAAAAGGTTGGATGGTGAGGATTAGACAAAATCCTGGAAGTATAGCTCAAGCCCAGGTACTGCCGTCGCTTGGAAAGGGGCATCTGGTGAGAGTCCGCGTACAAGCTTAAAACAGGCGATGTCCGAAATGCACTCGTAGCAAGGCGCAAGCCAAGGTGGTGTATTGGGTCCAACATCTTCAGGGAGGATGGTCGCGCTGAGTTGTACACGACGGCACCATAATCAAGACGGGATCGTACCAAAGCGTTATACAAGCGTAGCAGGCATAGACTGTCAGAGCCCCAAGTTTTATGTGACAAAATTTTCAAGATGTTTAGGGATTTCAGGCACTTTTGTTTCAATTCCTTTAAGTGAGACATAAAATTCAATTTCTTATCAAATATGACTCCCAGAAACTTATGCTCGGCTTTAACTGGTATAGGTGCTGTGTTCAATTCCAACACTGGCTCAAGGGACAGCCCTCGTCGAAGAGAAAATGGAACGCAAACCGTTTTTCCGGATGAAAACCTGAAGCCATTTTCGTCGGCCCACTTACTGATCTTATTAATTGCTAGCTGCAGCTGGCGTTCACAGCTGGACAGATTACAAGAGGAAAATGATATCTGTAGGTCGTCGACATACAATGAGTGTTCAGTGGAAGGTGGCAGTATCTGAGCTAGGGTGTTAATCTTTAAAACAAATAATGTGACACTCAGGATGCCCCCCTGAGGAACCCCATTTTCTTGAACAAATGTGTCTGATAATGTGGTGCCTAGTCGAACCTGAAAGGTCCGCCCAGTCAGAAAAGCTTTTATACAACGCAACATGCGGCCCCGTACTCCGCAGGCATAAAGGTCTCGCATGATACCATATCTCCAGGTCGTGTCGTACGCCTTCTCCAGGTCAAAAAATACAGACACACAGTGCTGCCTCTTTACAAAAGCCTCCCGGATTCTCGTCTCGAGGCGCACGAGGTGATCTAGAGTAGACCGGCCTTGGCGGAAACCACACTGGTTGTTATCAAATAGGTTTTGTTCTTCAAGAAAAAACACCAGCCGTTTGTTGATAAGTCTTTCGTACGTCTTACCAAGGCAGCTCGTAAGGGCAATCGGGCGGTAGCTCGAGCAAAGAGAGGGGTCTTTGCCAGCTTTCAAGAGGGGTATAACATGTGCTCTTTTCCAGGATTCAGGGAAGCAAGCTTTTTCCCAGAGAAGGTTGAAAAAACTAAGCAGATGTTGTAGGGGCAGCCTACGAAGCATCTCATGGTGGATGAAATCAGGGCCTGGGGCAGACTGTTTCCTGATGTCAAGAGCCAACTCCAGTTCACGGAGCGTAAAGGGCTGGTTGTATGGTGTAGAGGTTGCCCCCGACATAACTATTCGCTCGCATTCTGCTTTCATTTTAAACTGTTTAAAAGTGGCACTGTAGTTTTCAGAACTCGAAACGCTCTGGAAGTGAACGCCAAGAGTATTGCCTAAGTCTTTCAGTGATGTGGGAACATTCTTGAACAATGGAGGGATAATAAAACAGCGGTAATCCCCTTTGATTTTGCGATAACGGTCCCACACCTCCTTTGCGGGGACAAAGCTGTTCAGTAAGGAGACATATTTCGTCCACGATTTCTCTTTTGCTTGCCTTCTAGTCCAGCGGGCTTGAGCTTTTCGCCTTTTAAATTCAATCTTGTTATTTACGGTTGGGTACCGTCGAAAGCGTGTCATCCTTGCGCAGGGGCCATGCTAATCTACTCTGTATCGTTCCAATTTTAGTATATGTACTTTGGAAGTACTTACATATTCTTTTCAAAATGATCTTAAAATTTACTTCAGTGCAGTCTGCGCCGGTGAGTCATACGGCAAGGGGGACATATTAATATAGGTGGTGAATTGTCAGGTGACTGCGAATGCCTTGCATTCGCAGTCACTTGTGCTCAGAGGCGCTTTTTCAACCCTTCCGAGCCACTCAAGACGAGATTTAGTACCGCAATGACTGCTTGTGCAGGTAGCTTCGTCGTGCGAATAACTCAAAATTCCCAGCAATCCAGCGATGAAAAATCTCTCCGCGAAACCGCGCTTTGTATACCCTTTTGGCCTAAGCCGGCGTACCTTCATGTCTAGCTTCTCACGCATGTCGCTGAATCGACTAGCTTCACTTGCAGTGCTATGGATATAGGTGGCGACGCTATCTTGAATCATATGAAGAATATCCTCTGAAAAAGTATGCTGTAAGAAAGGATGGCAGACGATTTAATTTAATTAAATAATTTATTTATGGTGTTCTCAAACAACTTAAAGGCCTAAATAGGGCTACACGTACACATAGCCTTTAAAAAAAAGAAAAACAAATATAGTCACACCCTATTGTGCAATCATTGATCGTGCACTTTTCTTAAACATTTCAAAGGGCATAAAAATCCGTATCAGCGTTATTTCACTTATCAAAGAAAAGTTGCGTACGAATCAAGAGAGTTTCAGATTGTGAAGAGCCTAGGTAAAAAAATATATTTGACCTATTTTGTCGTTGAAGAACATGAAAAAAATGTTACTAAGTAACAAAGGGTACTCAATAAGAGTGTTGAGTACTTTGTATAGGAACACTAAATCACGAATTGTTCTTCTGTCTGAAATAGGCGAGAGACGAAAAGTTGTTAAAAGGCTCACAAAATCATAATAAAGTTTACGGCCGAAATTGCGATAATAAACAATTCGAACAAGCCGTCCTTCCAAACATTCCAAATGGTGGGTCTGATTCGCGTTTAAAGAATGCCATACGGTTCAAGAAAATTCTAGCTTTGAAAAAACTAGTGAGCGAAAAATATGAAGTATGCATGAATAGCAGTGGAAGTTTGGAGTAATATGTAATATTACACAAAGTTATTAGCAAACGAAACGATAATTTACAATTTCACAAATGTGTGCACCGAACTTCAGGCGTGAATCATTCCAATTCCTAGGTCGCGCACAACCGAACACCTTGATATTTGAGAGCCATCTAATGCACGTATAAGGGTAAACAATAATAATAATTTTGCAAAAAAAGAAAAGCTTAAGTTTATACGAGATTTAAAGACGAATGGCCTCAATGTCAAGCTGCAGTAGTCTTTAGACTGCAGTAGTGCTAAAAATACGATAAAGTTTAACATCGTCAGCAAATTGAAGCACATCTGAATTGTCTACACTTGTCGTAGGGTAATTTACAAATTGATTAAGAAGTAGTGGTTCAAGGTTAGATCCTTGCGGCATTCTGGGATATAGGACGTAACGGGACCTGTGCCTTAAGTAAGATACTCTGTCCGGGCGATCTCTGAGATAGCTGTTAAGGCATTTACAAAAACAAAAAGCAACACCAAGTTTATATAACATTGTTAACAATTGACCGTGATCTACACGATCGAACGCTTTAGAACAGTCAGAATAAATTACATCTACCTACCCTTGGGACTCAATGAGAGGCTTTGCAATGTCAAAGAAGGTTTTAAGGTTTGTCTAAGCAGATCGTCCGTGACAGCTAGCATAGACTGAGCATAGGCTTAAAATAAAAAAAATGAATGATACGCTTAAAGATTGATTTTTAAAATGCAATAGAAAAAGTAGAGAGCAGTGAAACGGGTCTATAATTGACTTAAGATGGTCGAATGGAACCCAGAAACACCCGGAGCATGGGTACGCTATACTGTACAGACCCACAAATGAAGCAAGCATCAAGAAAATCAACAGGAGGCAGACTTGCGCACCCCTCAGAGCCCTCGCTCCCGGAAAACTCAAGGAGATACGATCCAACGGACGGAAGAACATCGTAGTGGTAGACGTCCTCACGGAACAAGCGTTACCAGCACTCCTAGGCGTCAACGACCTGAGCGATACAAAGGTGAGCACCTTGAATTCATCACCACTGGCGTGGTTCGGGATATCGACATAGACCTCATGAAAGACGAAGTTTTCAAGACAATGCGAGCTCCGTATCACGCCAATTTTGGCGTGCGGCATTTTAGACAAACTACTTCTGTCAAGATCGTATTTTCAGGCAAGTTCCCTCCAAGTCACGTTCACACGGGATATGTCCGGTACTGCGTGTCGCTCTACGTGGCCCGGACCCTGCAGTGCTGTCGATGTATTAGAATAGGACATGTCGCTGCTCTCTGCCGGAGGAAAAAGACGTGCGAAGTGTGCGGGAAAATACAAGACCAAAGAGTGCGAGAGTGAAACGGTCCGCTGCATTAACGGCCGTCGGGACCACACCGCCCCGTGAAACCTCTGCGCAGTACTGAGGAAAAAACGGGAAGTCTGCATATAACACGCCAGGACGGCTTCTACCTAAAAAGAGGCAGGCGTGGCACTTAGAAGAAGGCAGCCCGAGTGGTCTCGAGACACCCGGAACACGACAGCAACGGGCAAGTCTAAAACACCGTAGCCACACTAAAAGCAAGGGCCGATTCTGCAGCCTCGGGACAAGACCGCAGGGGAAAGAAGACATATGTCACAGCCAACACTCTCCACCGACATAAGGAACGCTGACAGACACCAGACGTCGAGAAAGAGGATCAAACAGAATAGCGGCGACCCTTCGCCAGCGCGACGAAAGGTACGAGGGAAACAGCCCAAGGCCTCCAGAAGACGCAGCATTCCTTGAAATTATCTCGCGCCTGTTCTAAGCAGTGATCCAACTAGCAGAAGCCCGGGTACATTCCCCGGAGGCAATCTTTGCACTGGAGGCACTGGAAGCCTTGAGGGGGAAGACCATTGAAGCAATCACTCAACAAGGGCCGATGCCAACGCCCTTGAAAGGATCACAGAAGCAGCAGTCCATAGCTCCCAGGAGTCGCCACACCAGAACCAGTGCAGCCCATGATAACTGAGCGGCTCCCAGGACCTTCAAAGTCGGAAAGGGCAGCACCAACCATGCTGCAGTAGAACTGCAGAGGCCTCAAAGTCAAGCTGCTTCTTTCCCAGTTTTTTTTTTTTTTTTTTTGTGAGGGCTATTGCCAGTGTAAACTGGAAAAATAAGAACACCCCGAATAGGGTGTCTGCATGCAGCGTGATATGGACTACCTGCTTTTTACTGGCCTTTGAAATATCCCGTGATATATAAAAAAAAATCAGGTTGCAACACGCACACCCTATTAGAGACTCTATTTCAATATACGCAGGCTTTCTTTCCAGGCCGAAAACTAGAAGCATGCAAACCGTATCACGTTGCGGATGCTTCTCAAGGCGCTTTTTAAGTGTTCACGTGACATTTAGGCTCTAAAGACAATATCTAAAGAATTAGCTAATTAGTGTTATATAGATATGTATTAAGATTAATTAAAAACAAATACTGTAACTCTATGCAGGAGGTTCGCAAAGAACCTATTGGTTTCATTTCCGTAAGGCACTCCACTTTTTGTTTGATTTTTCTTCTCAGGGTGCGTTATTTGGGGCGTATGATGTATATATTTAGTGGCTCTCATTGCATTTTCCTTTACAGATACCATCCAGAATATACGCAAAGCGTGCTGTCGAGTGTCCGATGCGCCATCGCTGTGTGGGGAGCAGTGGGCTCGGCACGAGCTACGAGGCAACTATGACTAAACCACCCGTCCTTTTATATCAGGTCCTGACAACGTTGCTGATTTGCACGGATCTCGGAGCGCTCAGGAACCAACGCATCACCGGTGCTTTCCATGGCTGCAACGCTGGAAGGGGCGTCGACCAGGTTGCGGATCTGCAAGATCGGCACGCGCCGACCTTGCAACAGTCATCATCACACTGGAACCCATCACCTACAACGCTGCAGGCGCTGCCTATAAAGGACCACCCGACTCGGATTTGCGCCAGTGGGCTCGGCACGAGCTACGAGACAACTATGACTAAGCTGCCCGTCCTTTTATATCAGGTTAGTTGGAAAACTGTTTCCAAATGCTACAGAAGTAGTAGTCGGTTTCATATAGTTGTGCTGAGCCCAAGGCGCTGTCTGCTTTTGTTGATGGATTGTGCATGCACGCTTAGCCTTTTGGTTCATGGGGACATCGAGGCAAACCCAGGCGCGACTACACAACAACTCTTAGAGAAAAAAAGTACTAATGTTGAAACACTGCTAAAGCGCAAAAGCAGTCTAGAAGAGAAACTGGAAACTTTAAACACAAGGATTACAGCGACAGAATCCCGGTAAGAGACACAGGTCGATTCACTTCGTCAATATGTTCAGACCTTAGAACAAAAAATTGACAATTTAGAAAACAGGGAACGTAGAAATAATCTAATCATATACGGACTAAACGAAACGATAAACGAAAACCAGTCTGACCTTCAAGATATGGTGCTCAACAAGGTATTCGGGGATAAGTTGGGATTAACCATAACCAGTATGGAGCGTATCCATCGGCTTGGGAAACCCAATGACCGTTCCCAACGTCCTGTAATACTAAAACTGATGGACTATCACGAAAAACAGCTCATACTTCAAAATGGAAAGAAACTGAAAAACACCCGTATCTCTATAGGCGAAGACTTCTCTTTTCGTGTACGTAATATCAGAAAATTACTTTGGAACAATTCACGTATAAAAAGGGATAATGGAGACAAGGTCTCCTTAACCTATGATAAGTTAAGAATAAACAGGGCACCTGGGACTACGAAAAGAATGATAAGGTACTGCTAAACCAGCCGATGGGCCAGCCAGTGGACCAACCGGTTATCCACAACCCGGGAGGGACGTCGGATGCTCCAGCACACCAACACCCGTCAAGTACAATAGCGTGACGTAGTTCACAAACGAAACAAAGAGAACTGATTGATTGATTAGGGTTTT